CAGGGGATGAGAGGCTTCCTCATGCAGCAACCTTGAGATGATGCTTCTCAAACATTGTCAGAGTTGATCAGTCTCATTGAGTTTTTCTTCACCCTCTTGTTCCCTACAGAAAATTTCCAAAATCCATTTTTACTTGGAACTCCAAACTCCCTGCAGCTCTCTCTTCCTGTGGTGAGCGATGCAGCTTCCCTAGCAGGAAGTGTCTGCAATTTCTCCAGAGTCTCTGCTCCAGCCGTCAGTTCAGGATGGCTACTGCCATCAGCCTTGGGCACCTCTTTACAGCCACTCATGGGCAGCGCCTACCTTTACCAACATTCTAGCACAACCACGCTGTCTGGAGTGACTGGCCAGAGCCAGAGCTCCACCTCAGCTGCTTCCTATCCGGGTCTCTTTGAGTGGGGTGTCCCAGGAAGCACTGCACAGGAGTCCTCTTCACTCGGAGACTGCACTCTGACTGTCATTGGCCAGGACTCAGTGGTTTCCTCCATGTATATGGCAGCCCAGTATGACAGAACTTCAGGTGCCAATAACCTGGTCCCACTGTATCCATCTCTTTCCACCAGCCTTGTTCAGGGAACACCATCTCGGGTTCCAAATCAGGGACACAGCCTGTCACTTCCCTACCAGGAAGGAAGCCAGGTGTACTACTATGGTCACGGCACACTGGGGCCTCTGCTGTCTGGAGAACTTGGCCCCTGCCTGCAGTCCTACGGCTCTGTGTCCTACACAGGAGCTGGGGCCTCTGCTCCTCAACCAGAAATGGTGTTGGTACTAAAGGAGATTCAGCCCACACATGTCCTTCCACCAGCCTCCACCTCTGGGGTCTACTACGCTGCGTCTGCTCCAGCCATCCCACAAACCAGATTTCAAGGTGAGTACAAACAGCAAGAAGGCAGAGAAAGGAGGTCTGCATCCAAAATCAGGGTCAAATCTGCAGCTGGGAAGCAGCGAGGCCATAGACAGGTAGAACTGAAGTCCTGACACTTTAGTGCACACTACCCTCGCTCAGTGCTCCCCATTTCAGACTCGACATAAGAGCACATAATACATGTCAGAAGGGGGCAGTGTAATGCCCACCTACACTTCATGGCTGAGAACCCCAAGAGCACACCAAGGGACCCCACAAGTCTCATTGCTCCATCTGCTAAGTCCCCTGTACCACCAAACACAAATGAACTCCCTCTCCTGATGTACAAGTTCAGTCTCCTGGGAAGGCGCTTCAGAACCCTCATTCCCATAGCGTCAGGTTAACTTTCTGCCACTTTCCTGATACCGGGAATAAGACCTTGTCTCCCCAGATCCCGTCCAAACTCAGTGGGCTAAGAATCTGTCCTTACTTATAAATTTCATCAGGAAGAGCTCCACTCCCTATCCTGGTCCACGGTGCGAACTGTTCTTATTCTCTCAGGAGAATGCTAGGAATTGTGAAATGTCTCATACTTCAAAAATCTCTTTTACTTTTTATTGCTCCTATGACAATCCTATGAAATAGAAAGAAAACCAAGGGACAATGACATCCAATGATCACCAGTAAGAACCAGAACACTCGCCTCTTACCTCCTAGCACAGGGCACTGTCCATGATCCTTAAGAGCCAGGAGAAACGCCTTGCCCATCGGGGGAAGGGACGTGGTTGCTGCACTGGTGTCTAGGGGGGACCACCTCACCCACCGAGGACTCACTTCATCCTTGCTTCCTTTGTAGTGGTGGAAACGTCCCTGGGGATGGAGACTTCCCTGGGGCTGCAACCGCCAAGCCAGAAAATTTACCTACAGCAAGCTCCAGAATTCCCCAAATCCTGCAGTAGCAGAAATACCCAGATGCTGCAGAGTGACCCACCAGCTGAGCTTGGGGACATGTCACTGACAGCTCCAGACAAGACTTCTAACAGTGACCTCCTGGCACTGTCTCCAAATCCAAAGAACTGGGATGAGTTTAACACCAAACTTGCAAAGCCCCTGGATCCCGACCAGATCCCAATACAAAACCAAGAGCCTCTACTACAGCCTTTAGAAATTCCTCATATTCTCCAGCTCCTGGCCTGCATCGATCCCCTCGGACCAGAGGACCACCCTGGTTCTGAAAACGCTGATCTGGGAAAGAGTAGCCTGAGTCTTGAGGGCCAGGGGACACTGGACAACGGGACCGAGGCTAGCGGTGGCTTTGCAGACATCGCTACACTGATGGAGGATGGTCACCTTCCCCAACTATTCGACCCCTTGAAAGACCTTGATCAACCCCAAGGCCCCGAGCTGATCCAAGCCAAAGACACAGGAGCCATCGAGTCCATCCAGCTGCAGCAAAAGATAAGTGGCAGAAAGGCTGCCTCCGAGTACACCAGGAAGAACAAACATCAGGCCACTGAGCCTCTCGATGGTGCTCCCAAGGCCAAAATCCAGCCAAAGGACCCGGAGTGCCTGTCAGGGGGAGAAGGGCTTATTTGCAATGCTGCAGCCAGTGACAGGGCTCCTGAGAACGAGGCCGAGCACTCCAACAGCAAACCTCAGAAAGCCGCACCCAGCAGGATCAGTACAACTAAGAGCCATGGGCAGGAAAGGACCAAGAGCACCAGAGGAAACAACCCCAAGAAAGCTGGAGAGAGTCACCAGTCAGGGACTGAAGTCAGGGTGGAAGAGAAGCCAATGATGCCCAAGATGAAGCGGAGGAAGAATCAACCCGAGCTGAGCCAAGAAACCTTTAAGAGGCCTCGAACCAGCCTCGGCCAGCACATGCTGGGGTCGGTGCAGGTGTTTCATGCTCTGGGGAGGAAGAGTGAGAAGAACACCGGGCCCTCTTCCTCCCGGGCCCTGGGAACCTCCAGCAACCCCAAACACCCCCAACCCTGCCCAGCTATCAAACCGTGGCTGGATAAACCACTCAAGCGTCAAGGTCCTTTGGAAACTCGAGTCCAAGCTCAGAAACCAGATGGCAGGGCTGAAAAACAGTGTCCACCTCTATCTTGGGATGAGCTGACACCTCCTGGGAAGGTCAGGTTGGTACCTTTGCCTTTTCTGACCGTGGACAAGCCTCCAGCTTGATCTGTTCCTCGGAGGCCACAGGCTCTGGCCTCACATCGGCCTGCTGTGGCAGACCCTGCCCGGCCTGCTTCCACCAACTCAGCTCAACCAACTGCAGTCAATTCCAGCCACCCAGCTCCTGCATCTTTGACAGTTCCTGCCAGACCAGCTCGGCCAATTTCCACCAACCCCGCTCGACCAGGTTGGACCAACCCCACCCGGCCTAGCGTCCCTCAGTGTCCTGCTTCAAGGCCTGCACCTTACAGAACAGCATCTTGCACTTCTCTCCAGCAGGAGCCCATTCCCACTGCTGTGCTCATGCTCCAGGCCCCGCCCAAGCCTCCCGCCCAGTATCTACTGGAGGATTTCAGCAAGCAACCAATTCCATGGAGGAAACCCGACATTCCAGGGCCAGTGATGTCAGAGCCCATCACACAGGAACAGAGGCCAGAGCGGGAGGCCATGAAGAGGCAGGCTCAACAGGAGCGTGAGAAGGCTGCCAAGTACACCTCTCGGGGGAAAGTGCAGTTTTTCACTGAGAGGGAAAAAGAAATGGGAATTTCTCGATACTACGGCTACGCGATATAAGGCTGCTAGGGCTCTTGGTGCCCCTTTGGGGTCCAGATGTTTTTCTATAGATAGATAAGAGTTATATATTTTGATATTTTAAAAATTTACTAGAACAATAAATAGCAGTACTAGTTAACAGATGAGTAATAAAGAAGCCTTTTGTCTTGGAGATGCTGTTAACTGTGGTTTCTCTTTGGTGGGGGTGGGGATCAAAGGCTTCATGAGAAAAAAGAAGTGACGTTGGATGGGAGAATGAGGGAAAGGCATACAAAATGAGGAAACAGGCAGGAAGTGGGTCCAGGGCTGGGGTAGCCAAAAGGGGAGAGATTTTAGGGGTTTAGAAAAAGAAGCAGGAGTCGTGAATGGCAGAAGTCAGAAGCAGGGCCTGAGAGGAGCGTTAAGAGTAAAATTGGAATAGAGTTGAAGATGGCAGCTGACGAGTCTAGGTTGACCAGGACAAATGTAAAAACTCTCTGAGAGGCTGTACTTATGGCTCGTGATCACATCAGTGTTCTGGGAAACAAGAGATTCAGGACACTTCTCCAAAAGCCCTGGGTCACCTCATCCATGAATGACTACGGCTGGGGACGGTCAGTATAAATCAAAAGGGAATCTACGAGATGAATGACCAGGGCTGAGTTACCTTGGGGGCAGCTGATAACAGGGGCCTCCCCATGGGAGCTGCTGCAGCAGGAGGCCCACCCAGGACAGGGCAGGCAGAGAAATCGCCTTTCCCCGACCCCTGTGCACCAGGCCCACGAACTCACTACTTCAGTTAACCTTTGCAACAACACGCGAGGCCAGGGTCACTGAGCTGCTTTACTACTGACGTTCCGCAGTGGGCTGCCGTCACACTGCCTGCGGAGGAGCAAGGCCTCAACTTGAGACCTGCATGCCAGCAGTGCTCAGTATTTGCTAATGCCTGTTGGTGACCAAGCTGGCTTTCAGAGCAAAGCATCTGGACGTTACTGGTGGACGAGATCCAACTTCTGGAGGGGCCTAGAGTTTTTTTTTTTTTAGATGTACTTCATTCTATTTCCCCTTCTGTAAAGACTACATCATGTTCCCCACCCAAGTCTAACTGCCATACGTCATCTTACACATCTGCCCCTTACCCCTTTCCTCCTCCTCCCACCCTTTTCCTTCTGGTATCTATGTGTTTATCTTCCACATATGAGTGAAGCATAGGGTATATGTCTTTCTCCATCTGACTCATTTCACTTAGCATAACACCCTCAGGGTTCATCCATGTTGTCGCAAATGGCAAGATTTCATGTTTTATGGCTGAGTAGGATTCCACTGTGTGTGTGTATATATATCTTCTTCTTTATCCATTCATCTCTCAATGGGCACGTTGGTTGTTTCCAAGTCTTGGCTATTGTGAATAATGATGCAACGAACACAGGGGCACATATATCTTTTCCCATTAGCGTGTTTCCATGTTCTTTGGATAAATACCCAGAAGTGGAATAGCTAGATCATATGGTAGTCTTATTTTCGCTTTTTTGAGGAATCTCCATACTGCTTTCCATAGTGGCTGTACCAGTTAACATTCTGACCAGCACTATACAAGTGTTCCCTTTTCTGCACACCCTTCCAACACTTGCTATTTCTTGTTTTTTTAATAATAGCCTTTCTGATGGGGAGGAGGTGATAACTCATTTTAGTTTTGAATGCATTTCCCTAAAAACTAGTCACGTTGAACATCTTTTCATAAGCCTGTTGGTCACCTGTATATTTTCTTTGGAAAAACATCTCTTCATAAACATTAACTTGAGGCGCCTGCCAGGGCCTCCGCAATCCACCTGGTCTGTTTCTGCCCTCTCTAAACATCGCCATCATCCAAAAGCACACAAGAAAACTCCACTGGAAGCGTCGATCACAGGGCAGGAGAGCGGTGGGAGCACGTGAGCACTGGGTCGCTGTTCCACGAGGGCAGGACGTATGTGCCCAAGGGTCCAGAGTCGCATCTTGGGAGGCTTGTAGGGCACCTGGAGGGGGTGAGCCAGGGGAGGGGGGGCATAAAAGGGAATGCTGTGGGGGGGGGGAGAGAAGGGGATAGCAGATAATTATCATGGGAAAATTGGTAATTTACATTTCTAAAATTATTCTTATTAAGATATAATTCACATACCATAGAAATCCATCTTTTGAAATTGTAAATTCAGTGGCATTTAGTACATTCACAAGCACAGGCAACCACCAGCATTATCTAACACATCACATTTTCATCACCCCTAAAAGAAACCCCCCTAACCATTAGAGGCTGCTCCTCATTCCCTCTTCTCTCCAGCCCCAGGCAACTACTCAGCTGTTTTCTGTCTCTATGGACTTGTCTTTTCTAGACATTTCATACATATGAAATACACCACAATATGTGACCTTTGTGTCTGGCTTCTTTCACTTAGCAGAATGTTTTCAAAGTTCATCCATGTTGTAGTATGTGTCAGTCTTTCATTCTTTTTTAGGACTGTAAAATATTCTATTGTATGGATCCACCACACTTGTTTATCCTTTCCTCAGTTCATGGACATTTAGGTTGTTTCCCCTAGTAATTTACATTTATTGAGAATTTATATTGTGTTAGGAAGCACCCCTTGGGTCATCAATTCCATTTCACAGATAAGGAGACAGGCTTGGAGAGTGTCAAGAATTGGCCCAAGGTGAAGAGGCAGCAACTGGGCGAGCTGGGGTTTCAACTCAGGCAGGCAGACCTCAGAGGTAATAGATTCACAGGAGAGAACGTGAGAAAGGTACAAAAGGGGATTCAATGGAAATTCACCCTTCTCCCCAAGTTCCCCGGCCACCCAATTCCTTCCTCCCTTAGACACATTTACTTTTGCGATGCTGTGGATCCTTCCAGAGAAATGATTTACATCCCAACACGGATGTATCACAATTTACTGACTAATGGGTCCCACTGATTTGAAGTGTCACTCTTATGGTACACTAAATTCTTACATTATGTTTGAATTACTCTTCATAACTGCCCCGACTGTGTCGCTTGTCTCTAATATTTGGCATTTCTCTAGAATTCTTTTTCTCTTCTTATATATTTTTTAAAACTTCCTCCTTTTCTTATTTCTATTAAGGCATTATCCATTGTGTTCATTCACTCTTGTATTATCTGTAATGTCGTCTTCAGACCTGGTTTCTTCAAAAAGTCAAATTCGAGAGGAAAATAAAAAGAAGGTGAGAGACACATGGGGGGAGAACCCATAGATTAAATAAGATGTCAGAAACCTAACAATGAAATGCAAAGTGTGGACCTAAGTTAGACCTAACTCAAACCCCTAAAAACAATTTCTATGACATTTAGGAGGCAACTGAGAATTTGAGAACTGACTGGATATTTAATAATAAAGGAGGATATTAAGGAACAATAGTCTGACACTTTAAATATACATACCAAAAATGGACAGGTGAAATTATATGATATTGGGCATCTGCTTCAAAAAACTACGGAATACGGTGAAACACGTAGGGGTAGAGAGGAAACACGACAGCCATAAGCTGATAAATATTCAAGCTGGATGAGTTCATGGGTGGTCCACGAACGCCACAGCATTAGGTCTGCTCCTGTATAACTTCAAAATTTGTGGTAATTGTTTAAAAACAGGATGACACTGTGGAAAAGTTTTTGGCACTTTCCAAAGGATAGACATACAACTCCTTTGTGATCCAACATCTCTACTCCTACCTATACATCTAACAGAATTGAAAGCAACGATTTGAACAAATATTTGTACACAATGTTCACAGCAGCATGATGCACAAGAGCCACAAGGTGGAAACAACCCAGCTGTCCATCAACAGATGAATGGATAAACACAATGAGGTATGTATACACAGTGGAATGTTATTTGGTCATAAAAAGGAGAGACATTTTGTTACATGCTATAACATGGATGAACCCTGAAAACATTATGTTCAGCGAAATCAGCCAGACACAGAAGGAAAAATATTGTATGATTCCGCTAATGTGAGGTACCCAGAACAGGCAAATTCATGAAGACAAGAAGTAGAACAGAGGTCACCAGGGGCTGAGGGAGGGGAAATGGGGTTGTTATTTTGTAATGGTTACAGAGCTTTTGTTCAGGATGATGGAACTTGTGGTTACAGGCAGTGGTGACGGCTGCACAACATCATGAATGCACTTAATGCCACTGAATTGTACACTTATGAATGGTTAAAATGATAAACATTATGTATATTTTACCACATCAAAAAAAAAAGCAAAAGGAATACCCAAGTTCAAGTTTCAATTCTTCCTTTTCTAGGCCTCAGTTTCACCATCTGTCAAGTGAGTCACTGTCACCGTCTATGCTCCGGGCTCAGTGCAGAGGAAGCACTCAGGAGGGGACGTTAGTACCACTCCCACTTCATCAGCAAAGGCCTGCTGTGCGGATTCACTGACTTAACGTGTGTGCACGCACTTTTTAAATGGCAGCTGCTGTACAGGCCTACCTCACTGTACTGTGCTTCGCTCTACCGTGCTTCACAGACGCTGTATTTCTTACGAGACCCCCATCAGCAACACGATTACAACTTGCTGAAGGCTCAGAAGATGGTTAGCATTTATAGCAATAAAGTATTATTTAATTAAGGTATGTACACTGTTCTTCAAGACCTAATGCTATTGAAACTTAACAGACTACAGTGTCGTGTAAACATAACTTCTACATGCACTGGGAAACCAAATTATTAGTGCCACTCACTTTATATTGCGATATTCACTTTATTCAGTGACCTGGAACAGAACCCGCAAGATCTCCGAGGTAGGCCTGTGCAAATGTTAAGAGACATTAGGTGTTATTGTTTCCCAAGGCCATGGAACTGGTCAGAAGGAGGATGATTCTTTCTCACTGATAATGCCACACAGGCCAACAGAACGTATGAGTTTCCCTGGTGTGTCCAAAGATATCAGGAAAAGAAAGCATAAAATTTAGAGAACTGTCTTCTACCGAGATGCTTACACGTGCTCTGACAACTATTTAAAATAACTGCTAAAGACATCATGGATATTCCTTTCTTTTCTTTTAGGCTACTACTTTTCTTACTAAAAGTTGACTTGACATTCAAAATATAGAACAGAGGGGCTGGCGCCATGGCGCAGTGGTTAAGCTAGGTGCATTCTGCTTTGATGGCCTGGGTTCGCGGGTTCAAATCCTGGGCTCGGACCTATACTACTTGTCAGCCGTGCTGTGGCACTGACCCACATACAAATTACAGAAGATTGGCACAGATGTTAGCTCAGAGCTCATCTTCCTCAAGCAAAAGAAGAGGAAGGTTGGCAATGATGTTACCTCAGGATGAAACTTCCCAGGCAAAAAAAAAAAAAAAAAAAATATATATATATATATATATGTATGTATATATATAAAGAGAGAGAAAATGGAAGTCTATAGTATTTCTCAAGCATGTACAGAGGCTATTGCCAAATATTATATTTCGATTCAAGTCTCTAATCTCTTTTTGAGACAGCAATTAGAAAAGTGTAATTAAGGAAACCACTTGGTTCCCTTTTTGAAATACTACCCATGAGAGAAGGCCAGCATTATAACTACTGAATTACTATGGTTATTACACTATAAGAACAAAGATGGTCTTTTCACTAAGGGTTCCATTTACCTCTGGTTTGTATTAGTGGCGAGGGTGTGTTACATCAATAATCAGTCCAAGTTCTTCATTCTGCTCTCAGATTTTGCTAGAAACATCCAAGGGGTGAAAACATTCTTCTGGAGCAAGATTCTTCTCCGAACTCTGTCAGAGAGAATGAGGTAAGAAAGAGCAAATGTGTCCTTAAAATCCTTTCTTATACCACCAATTCATTCAAGCCCTGTGATGCTAACAAACAGTGTGATTCAGAGGAAAGTTTCCACTCCTCTGGAAGTTATGAGCTACATTACAATCCTTTCTTCCAGGGATTAGAGGGAAGAAAATAAGCTCACGTCTATAGATTTATTTCTGTATTTGTTTCATGTGGGTTCCCAACCAGACTGTAAACTCCCAGAAGGCAGGGACCACATCAGTGTTGTCCACCACTGTACCTCCAGCTCCAAGTGGAGTGCCTATAAAAAGGCACTTATAAATACTCCTAGAATATCTAAATAAATGAAGGATGGCTCTTACTGCTAAATATTCTTTTCTGTATTTCTTTCATTTATGTACTCTGTTCCATTGATCTATTTGGTTATTCAAGTGCCAGCAACACATCTTTTAAAAAAGTAACAGAGGGGGCCAGCCTAGTGGCATAGTGGTTAAGTTCACAGACTCTGCTTCAGCAGCCCAGGCTTCGCAGGTTTGGATCCAGAGTGGTGACCTAGGACCGTTTGTTGAGCCACGCTAGCTGGCATCCCACATGAAACAGAGAAAGACAGGCACAGATGTTAGCTCAGGGCCAATCTTCCTCACACAAAAATAAAAAACGAATAGACTACTTTTCAGAGCAGCTTTAGCTTCATAGAAAACAGAGCAGAAAGTAAAGAGTTCTCACTAATCCTCTCTCCTTCACCCCACACAGCCTTCCCCACCATCAACGTTCCACAGCACTGTGCCCCATTTGTTAGGATCAATGAACGAACGTCAACACATCATTATCAATCAAAGTTGATAGCTCACATCACACGTCACTCTGTGTTGTATATTTGATAGATTTCGGCCAATGTACCATGACATGTATTTACCCCTATAGTATCAGACAGATTAGCTTCACTGCCCTAAAAATCCCTTGTGCTCCAGCCACACTTCTAATGTGGCTTAATTTCTGGTACGGCTACATGAACCCCTTCCACTGCTCTTTTTTTTTCAGAATTTTCCTGGCTATGTAAGTTTCTTTTGCTATACGAGCTTTAGAATCAGATGATATGAGATGATGCTAAATTTACAAATTAACTTAGGAAGATTTGACAGATCTACGATGCTGAGTCTTCCACAGAACACTGCGAAAGGTTTGAAGACTGTATTAATTACAACAAGGCGTACAATCTCTCCTGTCAGTTTCTTCCAGACTTGGAGCTGGAGGATCATTACCATCTCCAGCTATCTGAACAACAGCCAACCTGAGGTAACTCATTTAGTCACAAACCCCTTAGGAAGCCTTCCTTGATTAACCCTGTCTGTTGTCATTTCCCCCTCCTTTCCATTCCTAGGCATTTCTGCTGCGACATTTCTGTGACACATCATTTGCCACTTGACAGTCCACTGTGCCTGACACTCGACTGCCAAGTACTGAGGCACCTTTGCCTTGGGTGACTTCCCTCAAACACCCAGGACACCTTGTCCCATTCCACTGCCACGCAGGGGTCATTCATCTCCCTACCTCTACTGCGTGAACAGGGACTGCACTGGGAGTGGCCCTGCAGCTTCGCAACCCCCTTGATGGCGCCTTAAACAGTCCCAACACTGAAGAGTGCACACAGAACTAGAAGAGGCTTCCTATAACCACGTCACACAGGAAAGATGTTGGCTGTGCGGAAGAAAGGAGACTGAAGACTCTTCCTGCTTCTCCCTGCTGATGTCCTTGAAGAAAAGGGGCTGAGCAGGGACACGGGGGAACCTCAGGATCCCCTTGGAGAGACCGTGGAGCAGGGACAGAGGAGTGAGGACAATCGCGGAGAGGAGGAGGAAAATAGGAGGAAATTCACAGGCACCGCCAATGCGGGTGGCGGTGGGCCGTCAGTTCACTCATTCAACAAAGACTGGAAAGTAGTTATGATGTGTCCAGGACCATGTTTGGTGTTGCCAGATGTGAATCAGAACTATTTGCTTATCTTTAAGAAATCACTAATGTTTAAGTCCAGAGATGCAGAAGAATTGACAGAGTAGGTGAAAACCCACTCCTGACCTACGAGACACAAATTAAATAAATTCCCAGTAGTCAAAGTGGGCTCTCCCTGACACTAATCCACGCTGTGCCGGGCAGGGTGATGAGACATGGAATCTCTTCTCACCTTTTTCATGTCAGTCAAATGCCTTCCCCACCTATTCCTTTCTTCCTTCAAACAAAAACACAGTTTTTCAGAGTTTCCAGGCTGAAATCCTGACCTTGCTGATCCCGGGCATTTTTGTGGTTGTGAGGATGGGATGGGAGGGGCTTTACTGGCATTTAGTGGCTGACGGGCATGGGTATAACACATCTTGCCAAATTCAGAACACTCCCACAAGTGGGTCTCACACCTGGATGACTTTTCAAAGTCTTATTCAACATCCATAGAGGTGAAAAAGTGTTCACAAGTATCTAAGCCTTAGAACCTAACTCCATTACACACATAAACACAAAGGGTTTCTTTGCAGTTTTCAGGGACATTGAATGTCCAGCATGGAAACCATCTTATCATCCTAGTGAAGACTGTACTTTGTTTTCTTTGGAAATCTACTTAGCGCAGCTCACAATCATTGAAACTCCTGCCACTAAGGCAACATACCCACCCAGATCAGTGAGCATGGGCAGCTTTGGCATTCATGGTGCAAGCAACTGACAATTCCTTTATTTTTAGTGAAGCCATGCCCAAACATTGACATATGGAAATGTAAACACATATTACTCTATTCTAAATTACTTTATTTTATTTCTCCTTTATTTTATAGTTAGAGCATTACACTGATTTTTTCCCTTAAACTTAAGTGTGGAAGCACGTTGGGTATATATATGAATTTCACTTCAGGAGAGTAAAGGGGATGTTACAAAATATTACTATAAAAAGTGGAAATGGAGTCAGATAGGGTGGGAATCAGAGTTCTGCACGGTGAATTCAGATTTCTGAAAGAATACTGAATTAACTTTTCTTATCTTTTTGATAGGAACTTTGAGAACAAGGACACAAGTCCTAGCTATCCGCTGTCCAACTGGGAGACAGTCTTTCCACCTATTAATACACTTTCTGTGAGCCAAATTTGACATCAGACTGTCTCCCTGCGTACAACGGGGCTCCTTGAAAACGGAATTCACAGCCCACTCAGTGGGTCCCCTCTGCTCTCTGCTTGGCATCTTGCTGCTCCCCTTCTTCAACCCCACCTAGTGACCACCTGTTCTCCCCTTCTTCCTGTTCCCCATCTTGAAAATATGCAAGGCAACCAAACAGAGCAAAGGTCTCCACAAACAAGGCCTAAGACCACAGATGGCCAGCCCTTCTCTAGCCCTGATAAGCCAGCCCAGTCCTGAATGCTAAGGTTCATCGATACTCACACGCTGACCGAAATCGTTTAGATTCAGTTCTTTCACTTCACGGTTTATTTTTAGTCCTCATACAACTGAAGTCATCAAATTCATTACGTGCGGACCTTCAAATTCATATTTTAAAGGAAAATCAGATGGGAAAGGGGCTGTGAACTTCACTTAGTGCTAGGAGTCACACTGAAAAGTAATCTTTCAGCTGACCTCTGCAGGATGAGGGAGAACTCACCGAGGTCAACCCAGTGAATCTGAAGCACACACAGTGAGGGCAAAAGGGGCACAAGACCGGGCCGAAGAAGCAGAGAGGATTCTAGACCAGGCAGACTCTTGAAGGCCAGGGTCAAGAGTTCGTTTTCACTCTTAAAACAACGTTTTTGAGTGATGTTTCTGAGCAATGTTCCGACTTGCATATTAAAAAGATTTCCTGCGTGAAGAATGCATTGGAAGGAAACGACAGTGGATACACGCACACTAGTCAGGACCTACATGCAAAAGAACAGGCACATTCCGTATGAGGATGCTGAGGGAAGTCAGGGGACAGGTTCCAAGATATTCAGGAGGTCAAATGAAAGGGACTTCATGAGGTATGAGCTGGACGAAAGGAAGGTCTCAAGGAATAAAAACGAGCTCACTGCACACAACAGCAAAGTCTCACAATTAATCGTTTGAACGTGTAGAGGAAGAGCTCTCAGATGAGACCCGGTAGGCAGCTACTGCTGCCCTTCGTGATTCCCGGCAACGACACAATCCAACATTTTCCGCAGAGAGTTCAGCGGTTGCGGAGGCCTTCTTCACTCACACCTGGTTCTCATCACTCACATTTTCCGTGCCCAAACAACACAGTTTGAGGAACTGAGCGGGACTCAGTTTCGATATTTAAGTACCGTCCCCAGCACTGACAGACCATCCTAGAAAGCAGTCCCTCTGCACTTGACCCGAGCAATGGCCAGAGCCTCGCTTTTAAAAGGATGGGGAGAAATCAGAACATCTCATACCGTCCGTTTCAGCCACTGTACGCGGAGCAGCCAGACGGTCAATGCCTCCGAGAAAGGGGCGGAGGGGCCAAGCACGCGGCCTCAACAGTGACAGGCAGAGACCCCAGTGGACGAGACCCAGACCCAGGAGCTGAGAGGCGGCAGGGCTACGCCCAGGGGCCAAAGCGTCTTACCTTTCGGGAACGTGGTTTCTGCCCTTCCTCTTGGCTGAAGAAGGTCCGAAAAGAGGGGTCCGCGGACCTGGCCGCGGCGGGCATGAAGCCATTGCCTCATGTGGGCCCCAAGATGCCCCCCTGCCGCCAAGACTGACAGACTCCCCAGTCCGGCGCCCTCGGGGTCAGAACAAGACCCCCAACCGCAAGAACCTGCGTAGCAAACCAGGCAGCGCCCAAATCCCTACCACAGCGCATGCGACACCGCCTGGCCTGATGACGTCACCAGGCCGGCTGCCAGAGAAGCCCGATCAGGGAACAGCACTCTGGCGGCTACGGCGCCCTCCTTCGCCGGAGGCCGGTAGTACAGCTCATGCAGATGAGCGCAGGCTTGTCACCGCCTTGAGATTTCAAACACTGCAGGACATGCAATGAAAAGTGAAGTCAATTCCCCCAGTTCCTTGTGTGCTTCTCCAGATATTTTCCAAGTGCTTACGTTCACTCGTATATTTTATATAAAGATTTCTTTGTACCTATATGCATATCCTCTATTTCATGTAAAAGCAGCGTACTCTACATGTTCTACAATCGACCTCTGACCCTCAGCTTTCCAGTCCATTTATTCATACATCCATTCTATTCCTTTTAATGCTTGCATACTATTCCATTCAGTACAATCACCAAAATTTATGAGTCCAATGTTGGTGGACTTTTAGTTGTTTTCAGTACTTTTGTCCTCTGCTACAGAGAGACTGCAATGTGAACATCCTCACGCGTGAGTACAGCTACTTTTAAATTCCTAGAAGTAGAATTGCTGGAAAGGATATGCAAACTTACAATTTTTAAAGTACTCTCTAATTCCCCTCCAAAAACACTGTAACAACCTACTCTCCCACTTAGAGTGAAACTTTCATTGGATTCCTACCCTGTGCCAGGTATCATGTTACAGGGTGATGCTATGTATATTTTCAAAAATACCGATAAATAACTGAGAGGGATAAGAGTGGAGCTGAAGACTAAGATTTCCACACAGCATCAGGCACAGGGAGCTGTCCCTGTTAGGAAAACTCTGAATTTGGCTACAAGTGGAACGGCAAAGGACAGCATGTCCTACAGTAGGTCTGAAGGCAGAAGGGGCAATAAATTTCAGATTAACCTGTAGATAATTGTAACAGGGAATGCTTTTTACTTTCTATTTTCTAGTTTCTGAAAATATCTTACAAACACTGTTAATAATCTTCACAACCATTGGAGAGCTAGGTAAACAACAGGTCAGAGAGGTGAGAGTTCTGGAATAAAGGAATAAATGAATGGGTAAAACGATCACTAGCTTTAACATTTCTGGGATAGTCACAGTCTAACCAAGTTGAAATCCACAAGCATCTACAACTCAGGAATATTCTACATATTTCCAAGTAGGTGAACATTAGTAAGTTGCTATTTGCAAAAAGAACGACATCAGTTAGCACAGCAGAGTTTGCAAACTTACAACTTGGCACCTTCAACTTTGAAGTTACATCAAAAAATATTCCTGGGGCCAGCCCCGTGGCCGAGTGGCTAAGTTTGCGAACTCCGCTTGGCGGCCCAGGGTTTTGCTGGTTTGGATGCTGGGCGCGGACGTGGCACTGCTCATCAGGCCACGCTGAAGCAGCATCCCACGTGCCACAACTAGAAGGACCCACAACTAAAATATACAACTATGTACTGGCGGGATTCGGGGAGAAAAAGCAGGAAAAAAAAAAAAAAGGAGATTGGCAACAGTTGTTAGCTCAGGTGCTAATCTTAATATACATATTCCTTTGGAGTTTATGGAAAAAAATACACCATTGGTGAGCAGTGGCCTAAAAGTACACAGGGTACAGAAAGCTATAGACATGACCACACAAAATGTAACATGAATTGATCAGAACCTAGAAAGGCTATATTGGTCTTGCACTTCCCATTTGCTAAATGACACAAGCTGGGGTGGGACTACGCTCAGATGACGCAAGAAAATCTAGACCTAAGCATAACAAGGTCTCTAGAAAGTATGGGAAGCAGTAAAGTGTAGGTCTTTGGAGGTATGAATCCAACACTAAGTTTGGTGTTGCTGAGTGTGAATCAGAAACCATTTGCTGTTCTATAGAAATCACTCAATGTTTAAGTCCACGAGATGCAGAAGAATTGACAGAGTAGGTGAAGAAGAGAACCCTGACCTATCGAGACACAAATAAATAAATTCCCAGTAGTGAAAGTGGTGCTTCCTGACACTAATCCACAGCTGTGCCGCAGGGTGATGAGACATGAATCTCTTCTCACCTTTTTTAATGTCGTCAAATGCCTTCCCCAACATTCCTTTCTTAGCCTCAAACAAAACCACAAGTTTTCAGATTTCGCATAGCTGAAATCCTGACCTTGCTGATCCCGGGCATTTTTGTGTGTGAGGATGGGATGGAGGGGTTTTACTGGCATTTTAGTGGCGGACGGGCATGGGATAACACATCTTGCCAAATCAGAACACTCCCACAAGTGGTCTCACACCTGGATGACTTTTCAAAGTCTTATTCAACATCCATAGAGTGAAAAACTGTTCACAAGTATCTAAGCCTTAGAACTAACTCCATTCACACACAAAACACAAAAGGGTTTCTTTGCAGTTTCAGGACATTGAATGTCCAGCATAGGAACCATCTTATGATCCTAGTGAAGACTGGTACTTTGTTTTCTTTGGAAATCTACTTACGCAGCTCACAATCATTGAAACTCCTGCCACTAAGGAACATACCCACCAGATCAGTGAGCATGGCACTTGGCATTCATGGTGCAAGCAACTGACAATTCCTTTATTTTAGTGAAGCCATGCCCAAACATTGACATATGGAAATGTAAACACATATACTCTATTCTAAATACTTTATTTTATTTCTCCTTTTTTTATAGTTAGAGCATTACCGATTTTCCCTAAACTTAAGTGTGGAAGCACGTTGGGTATATATATGAATTTCACTTCAGGAGAGTAAAGGGGATATTACAAAATATTACTATAAAAAGTGGAAATGGAGTCAGATAGGGTGGGAATCAGAGTTCTGCACGGTGAATTCAGATTTCTGAAAGAATACTGAATTAACTTTTCTTATCTTTTTGATAGGAACTTTGAGAACAAGGACACAAGTCCTAGCTATCCGCTGTCCAACTGGGAGACAGTCTTTCCACCTATTAATACACTTTCTGTGAGCCAAATTTGACATCAGACTGTCTCCCTGCGTACAACGGGGCTCCTTGAAAACGGAATTCACAGCCCACACAGGGGGCCCCTCTGCTCTCTGCTTGGCATCTTGCTGCTCCCCTTCGACCCCACCTAGTGACCACCTGTTCTCCCCTTCTTCCTGTTCCCCATCTTGAAAAATGCAAGGCAACCAAACAGAGCAAAGGTCTCCACAAACAAGGCCTAAGACCACAGATGGCCAGCCCTTCTCTAGCCCTGATAAGCCAGCCCAGTCCTGAACGCTAAGGTTCATCGATACTCACACGCTGACGGAAATCGTTTAGATTCAGTTCTTTCACTTCACGGTTTATTTTTAGTCCTCATACAACTGAAGTCATCAAATTCATTACGTGCGGACCTTCAAATTCATATTTTAAAGGAAAATCGATGGGAAAGGGGCTGTGAACTTCACTTAGTGCTAGGAGTCACACTGAAAAGTAATCTTTCAGCTGACCTCTGCAGGATGAGGGAGAATCACCGAGGTCAACCCCGTGAATCTGAAGCACACACAGTGAGGGCAAAAGGGGCACAAGACCGGGCCGAAGAAGCAGAGAGGATTCTAGACCAGGCAGACTCTTCAAGGCCAGGGTCAAGAGTTCGTTTTCACTCTTAAAACAACGTTTTTGAGTGATGTTTCTGAGCAATGTTCCGACTTGCATATTAAAAAGATTTCCTGCGTGAAGAATGCATTGGAAGGAAACGACAGTGGATACACGCACACTAGTCAGGACCTACATGCAAAAGAACAGGCACATTCCGTATGAGGATGCTGAGGGAAGTCAGGGGACAGGTTCCAAGATATTCAGGAGGTCAAATGAAAGGGACTTCATGAGGTATGAGCTGGACGAAAGGAAGGTCTCAAGGAATAAAAACGAGCTCACTGCACACAACAGCAAAGTCTCACAATTAATCGTTTGAACGTGTAGAGGAAGAGCTCTCAGATGAGACCCGGTAGGCAGCTACTGCCTGCCCTTTGTGAAGAAAGTAAAGAGTTCTCACTTTAACCATCTCTCCTTCACCCTACACAGCCTTTCCCACCATCACCATGCCATACCAGTGTGCTCCATTTGTTGTAATCAATGAAGCAACATTGACACATCATTATCAAAGTCCATAGCTCACATCACGGGTCACTCTGTGTTGTATAATCTATGGGCTTTGGCCAATGTACAATGACATGCATTTACCCCTAGAGTATCAGACAGATTAGCTTCACCACCCGAAAAATCCCCTGTGCTCCAGCAACACTTCTAGTATGGCTTAACATTTGGTAGGGCTAGGCAACCCTTTTCTACCTTCTTCCTTTTCAGAATTTTCCTGGCTATGTAAGTTTCTTTTGCTATACGAGCTTTAGAATCAGATGATATGAGATGATGTTAAATTTACAAATTAACTTAGGCAGATTTGACAGATCTACGATGCTGAGTCTTCCACCGAACACTGCGAAAGGTTTGAAGACTGTGTTAATTACAACAAGGCGTACAATCTCTCCTGTCAGTTTCTTCCAGACTTGGAGCTGGAGGATCATGACCATCTCCAGCTATGTGAACAACAGCCAACCTGAGGTAACTCATTTAGTCACAAACCGCTTAGGAAGCCTTCCTTGATTAACCCTGTCTGTTGTCATTTCCCCCTCCTTTCCATTCCTAGGCATTTCTGCTGTGGCATTTCTGTGACACATCATTTGCCACTTGACAGTCCACTGTGCCTGACACTCGACTGCCAAGTACTGAGGCAGCTTTGCCTTGGGTGACTTCCCTCAAACACCCAGGACACCTTGTCCCATTCCACTGCCACGCAGGGGTCATTCATCTCCCTACCTCTACTGCGTGAACAGGGACTGCACTGGGAGTGGCCCTGCAGCTTCGCAATCCCCTTGATGGCGCCTTAAACAGTCCCAACACTGAAGAGAACACCTTGTGCACACAGAACTAGAGGAGGCTTCCTATAACCACGTCACACAGGAAAGATGTTGGCTGTGTGGAGGAAAGGAGACTGAAGAGTCTTCCTGCTTCTCCCTGCTGATGTCCTTGCAGAAAAGGGGCTAAGCAGGGACCGGGGGGAACCTCAGGATCCCCTTGGAGAGACCGTGGAGCAGGGACCGAGGAGTGAGGACAATCGCGGAGAGGAGGAGGAAATTCACAGGCACCGCCAATGCCTGTGGCGCTGGGGGTGGGCCGTCAGTTCACTCATTCAACAACGACTGGGAAGTAGCTACGATGTGTCAAACACTAAGCTACTTACATCACCAGGAAAATTCTGAAAAGGAAGAAGGTAGAAAAGGGTTGCCTAGCCCTCCAAATGTTAAGCCATACTAGAAGTGTTGCTGGAGCACAGGGGATTTTTTTCGTGGTGTAAGCTAATCTGTCTGATACTCTAGGGGTAAATGCATGTCATTGTACATTGGCCAAAGCCATAGATTATACAACACAGAGTGACCCGTGATGTGAGCTATGGACTTTGATAATATGTGTCAATGTTGCTTCATTGATTACAACAAATGGAGCACACTGGTATGGCATGGTGATGGTGGGAAAGGCTGTGTAGGGTGAAGGAGAGATGGTTAAAGTGAGAACTCTTTACTTTCTGCTCCGTTTTACTATGAAGCTAAAACTGCTCTACAAATGAGTCTATTAGTTTTTTACTTTTAATTTTTTTTGTGAGGAAGACTGGCCCTGAGCTAACGTCTCTGCCAGTCTTCCTCTGTTTTGTGTGGGATGCTGCCACAGTGCGGCTTGATGAGCGGTGCTGGGTCCACACCTGGATCCCAAACTGCAAACCCGGGCCACCGAAGTAGAGCTGGTGAACTTAAGCACTACGCCACCAGGCCGACCACCTCTGTCAGTTTTTAAAAGATGTGTTGCTGGCCCTTGAGTAACCACAGATCAGTGGAACAGAGTACATAAATAGATAATACATAAAAAGAATATTTAGCACTAAGAGCCATCCTTCATTTATTTAGATATTCTAGGAGTATTTATAAGTGCCTACTCATAGGCACTCCGCTTGGAGCTGGAGGTACAGTGGTGGACAACACTGATGTGGTCCCTGCCTTCTGGGAGTTTACAGTCTGGTTAGGTCCCCCGTGACACAATACAGAAGTAAATCTCTAGAAGTGAGCTTATTTTCTTCCCTCTAATCTCTGGGGGAAAAGTTGTAATCTAGCTTGTAACTTCCAGAAGGGTGGAAACTTTCCTCTGAATCACACTGTATGTTAGCATCATAGGGCTTGAATGAATGACAGTATAAGAAAGGATTGAAGCACACATTGCTGTTTCTTATTTCATTCTCTCTGACAGAGGTTTGGAAAAGAATCTTGTTCTAGAAGAATGTTTTT